TACAGAGAGGCAGAGGTAGAGAGAGAGAGAGAGAGAGAGAGAGGTCTTCCATTCGCTGGCTCATTCCCTGAAGGCCGCAACAGCCAGAGCTGCACCAATCCGAAGCCAAGAGCCAGGAGCCTCTTCCAGGTCTCCCTGTGGGTTCAGGGGCCCAAGGACCTGGGCCATCTTCTGCTTTCCCAGGCCGTAACAGAGAGCTGGATTGCAAGTTTACATTTAAAAGAATTACTTTTACATTTTACATTTTAAAAGAATTGAGCCTTGAGTTCCATTAGTTTAGTCTTCCGAAAACACCTCTTAGATCAAAACCATAGTGCGGGGCTGGCACTGTGGCACAATGGGTTAACAGCCTGGCCTGAAACGCCAGCATCCCATATGGGCACCAGTTCAAATCCCAGCTGCTCCATTTCCTGTCCAGCTCTCTGCTATGGCCTGGGAAAGCAGTAGAAGATGGCCCAAGTCCTTGGGCCCCTGCACCCACATGGGAGACCAGGAAGAGGCTCCTGGCTTCAGATCGGCACAGCTCTGTCCGTTGCGGCCATCTGGGGAGTGAACCATCAGATGGAAGATCTCTTTCTCTGCCTCTCCTCTCTCGTGTAACTCTGACTTTCAAATAAATAAATAAATCTTTAAAAAAAAAAAAAACACCATAGTGTATGGCCACATTGTGACACAATGGGTTAAGCCTGGGACTCCAGCATCCCATGTGAGTTTGAGTCCTGCTGCTCCACTTCCAGTCCAGCTCCCTCTGATGCACTTGGGAAAGCAGCAGAAGATGACTTAAGTGTGTGGGCCCCTTCCACCCACGTGGGAGACCTGGATGGAGTTTCAGGCTCCTGGTTTCAGTCTGGCCCAGCTCCAGGCCGTTGACATTTGGGGAGTGAGGGACTGAACCATCAGGTGGAAGATCTCTCTCTTTCTCTCTCTCCTCCTTTTCCTCTGCAACTCTGCCTTTCAAATAAGCAAAATCTTAAAAAAAAAAAAAAAAAAAGCACCCATAGCGTTATAGTGTTTTACCAACTTGAGTTAAAAAACATTCAAACTGACTTCCAGGATTCCAAAAGCTCTTTGTAATTTGTCCTCTGTTCCACATTGTCCTCTGCAACCATGTTTCTTGCCATTACCAATAAGAATGCTCTGATTTATCCAGAAAGATTTCTCCATAATTTTTTTTAATTTTTTTTTAAGATTTGTTTATGGATGCTGATGTCACAGACGAGGACTTAACATGCTGCAGCCCCGTGCCAGCCCCTCTGCATTAACTTGTAATTAGCACTTCTAGCTGCCTCTTCCCTTGAAGGTCCTGCTCAGGCCAGAACTTTTCATGAAGCCTTATATAAAATAACAGGCAGAAAGTACAAGATGAGAGAAAAGAAATAAATCAGATGCATTTAAATAGACTGTCCTCTCCAATTAAAAATTATAGACTGGATTTTAAAAATAAAATTCATAGTTGGCATTTAGCCTAGCAGTTAAAATGCCAATTAGAATACCTTTATCCCTTATCAAAGTGCCTGGGTCCAGTTCTTGGGTCAGGCTCCTAACTCCAGCCCTTGGGAGACAACAGTGGTGGTTCTATTGAGTTATTATCTCCAATTAATTTTAAAGTTCTTTTCAGTTCTTTAAAGATTTATTTTATTCAAAATGCAGAGTTACAGACAGAGAAGGAGAGACAGAGATCTTCCATCTACTGGGTTTTTGTCTGTGTGTGTGTGTGTGTGTGTGTTTGTTTTTGTTTTTGTTTTTGTTTTTGACAGGCAGAGTTAGACAGTGAGAGAGAGAAAAGAGAAAGAGAGAAACGTCTTCCTTCAGTTGGTTCACCCCCCAAATGGCCGCTACGGCCGGCACGCTGCCCCAGTCTGGCGCCAGAAGTCAGGTGCTTCTCCTGGTCTCCCATGCGGGTGCAGGGCCCAAGCACTTGGGCCATCCTCCACTGCCTTCCTGGGCCACAGCAGAGAGCTGGACTGGAAGAGGAGCAACCGGGACAGAATCTGGCACCCTGACCAGGGCTAGAACCTGGGGTGCTTGCGCCACAGGCGGAGGATTAGCCTAGTGAGCTGCGGTGCCGGCCTCCATCTACTGGTTTACCCCTGAAATGGCCGCATTGACCAGGCCAAAGCCAGGAGCAAGAAGCTTCATCCTTGATCTCCCATGGGTGTGGCAGGAGCTCAAACACTTGGGCCATCCTCCACTGCTTTCCCAGGTGCATTAATAAGGAGCTGGATCAGAATTGGAACAGCAAGGACTTGAACTGGCAGCTGTAGGGAATGCCAACCCTGCAGACAGTGTGCCACAAAGCCCTCCCTGAAATATAATTATTTTATATTCTATGTCTAGTTTTAATAAATAAAGTCTCTGAAAGTTGAGTTCTGCCCACTCTCACAGTTTATTTTGCCCCATATGCCTTGTGAGTTTTGATTGTTAACTCTCATTCCTCAGAATTTGCTCTGTGGATATTTTTTTCAGAGAAAATTTACAAGATTTGTGCTTATTTCTGCCATTCACTCACGGTCACTACTTTCCCCACAGCACTTTAAAACCTTAGCCTGTGTTTTGTTTCAGGTTCTAAACCTGTCCGTGGCTTTGCCTGTAGTTACAGATTCTCAAGGTAGATTTTCTTGCAACCCCTTTCTTTCTGTGTGGCATCTTTCTCCACCCTGACTCTTGAAGGGTAGCATTTTGGGGTTCTAGCTTTTAAAGAAGGACCTTGGGTAGACCCTGGATTTCATGTCCTGTCTCCCTCCACCAACCAAATGGTCAAGTGGAAGCTCGGGGTCACCAACTGTTTGAAAGATCTGTTGGTTTATAGTGTTGACTCCTAGTGTACTAATTCCTTTTAGTGCTGTCTGTAACAGACACAGTTTAAAGCAGCAATAATAACAGCAGTAATAGCATATACTCTGACAGGTACTTCTTACATGTCTTTTGTGTATTATCTCAATTAATAGTCCCAACTGCCCTTATGTACATAAACACATTACTCATTTTTTTAAGACAGCTTTTTCTTTGTTCTGTTAGATTTGTTTATTTATTTGAAAGGTGGAGTTACAGAGAGGCAGAGGCAAGGGGAGAAAGAGAGAGAGAGAGGTCTTCCATCAGTTGGTTCATTCCCCAAATGGCCTCAATGGCCAGAGCTGGGCCGATCCAAAGCCTGGAGCTTATTCCAGGTCTCCCACACAGGCACAGGGGCCTAAGCACTTGGGCCATCTTCTACTACTTTCCCAGGCCATAACAGAGAGCTGGATCAGAAGTGGAGCAGCTGGGCTTGAACCAGCAACTATATGGGATTGCTGGCACTGCAGGCGGTGGCTTTTGTCTGCTACACCACAGCACTGGCCTCTATACACATTACTCTTGAGAAACCTGAGACAGAGGGATTGAGTAACACCTCAAATCAGACCAGCTCCAGAACCCCCATTCTCTTAACCTTTATGCTACTGCCCAGGAGGTTTTACTGGATGATAAGAACATGAAATGTGGCATTACAGGGCCAGAGCATGTATAGAGCCTTACATACCCTGCAGAATTTTGACATGATGTGGTAGGCCCGTGAAAAGTAAGGAAATGTTTCTCAGGAAAACGAAAGTGGTGGCAGTAGTAAAGATAGAAATGGGAATCACATGCCCAGTGTAAAATGATAGGCTGACTATAAGTTAATAGTATGTTGTCAAATGACTCATCATTCTTTACCCATGGTGCCATGAATAACAAAGGTTCAAATATTTCTACATAAATATTAGTGCTGGAGCAGGCATTTGGTACAGGAGTTGAATCACCATCGGGGATGCCTGCAGCCCATTTCAGATTGTCTGGTTCGTGTCTCAGCTACTCTGCTTCCAACCCAGCTTCGTGCTAATGCACACTGGGAAGGCAGCATGTGACAGCTGCCACCCATATAAGAAACCCAGATTGAGTTCCAGAGTCCTGACTCAGTCCTGGACATTACAGGCAGGGGGAGAAAGAAAGAGAGAGAGTGAACCATTGGGTGGAAGATAGGTCTATGTCTCTGTCTCTGTCTCTGCCTTTCAAATAAAATGAAAATAAAAACTTTAAAAATATTAGTGGTAGCCGGCGCCGTGGCTCACTAGGCTAATCCTCCGCCTTGCGGTGCCGGCACACCGGGTTCTAGTCCTGGTCGGGGCGCCGGATTCTGTCCCGGTTGCCCCTCTTCCAGGCCAGCTCTCTGCTGTGGCCCGGGAGTGCAGTGGAGGATGGCCCAAGTGCTTGGGCCCTGCACCCCATGGGAGACCAGGAGAAGTACCTGGCTCCTGCCATCAGATCAGTGCGGTGCGCCTGCCGCAGCGTGCCAGCCGCGGAGGCCATTGGAGGGTGAACCAATGGCAAGGGAAGACCTTTCTCTCTGTCTCTCTCTCTCTCTCACTGTCCACTCTGCCTGTCAAAAAATTTAAAAAAATATATTAGTGGTAAAAGTTACTTTTGGGAAATATTAACAATGTTTTATTTACCTCAATTTGAAAATAATTCCTAAAATATACAATATAGTGGTTCTTAGTATTGTACACTATTGTACATCACCACTATCTAATTTCATAATATTATCAACAACCCTAAAACTCACACATGTTTGATACTTAAATTAAGGGACAATCATATCTTCAGTCTGAAAATGAGTAAGTGACATACTTGACTCAAATGAATCGTAACTTACTTGTAATCACTTTTAGCCAGTTTTCTAAAGTAGATCAAGACTTGATAGAAAAACTGGATTGAGAACACATTGCTTAAGTTATTTTTCCCTTTTTATTATGGAAATCCCCAAGGTTTGATTTATGGGTTTAAATAATTCCTTATGTCATAAACAAAATGGAGCTCAGCAAATATTTTCTTGAACATGGATTTTTTTTTAATCAGCATGGTCTTTTTGTTAACTATTGGGAAAAGAAATTCAAAATCTTATCTATTTTACCTTCCAAGAAAATAGTTCAAGGAGATATCTAAGTTTGCCTTGCAACTTTAATCATTTTCCTTTTTCATTTAAGATGCCAGTGACAGTGGACGTTCTTATAAAACCGTCCTGGACCGCTGGAGAGAGTCTCTCCTTTCCTCTGCTAGCCTGTCCCAAATCTTTCTGCACTTGTCCACCTTGGATCGTAGTGTGATATGGTCTAAGTCTATACTGAATGCTCGTTGCAAGATATGCCGAAAGAAAGGTGATGCTGAGAACATGGTACTTTGTGATGGCTGTGATCGGGGTCATCACACCTACTGTGTTCGACCAAAGCTCAAGGTATTTTTTTCTTCTTCTCAGAGTAAAATGGAGACATTGAGATTTTGAGTAGTAAATGATTAATGATTAATGACCATTTACCTGATTTGTTTTTCAGACTGTGCCTGAAGGAGATTGGTTTTGTCCAGAATGTCGACCAAAGCAGCGTTCTAGAAGGCTCTCCTCTAGACAGAGACCATCCTTGGAAAGTGATGAAGAAGTGGAAGACAGTATGGAAGGTGAGGATGATGAAGTTGATGATGATGATGAAGAGGGTCAAAGTGAGGAGGAAGAGTATGAGGTAGAACAAGATGAAGATGACTCTCAAGAAGAGGAAGAAGTCAGGTGAGTCCTAACATGCAGTAAAGTGAGAGTCCATAGCCTTAATTAGTCAGTCTGTTGGCTATTCAAATGCAAGTGGAACAGGGAGGGTCCATAATTTCTTTAAACTGATGTGTAATAAAGCAACCTGAAGTTACACTTGGCTTTTTCAAAAATATTCTGGTGGGATTATAGGTGATCTTGGCCGTCTACAGAGGCAGAGTGATACGAGCCAGGAAGTACACTGTGTTTTGATCCTGTACTCCTACCATGTCAGCCCCAGAAACAACCTCTGTAACACCATACAGTCAAGCGCTCTGCTGCATAGCACACTGTGTTACCCAGACCTGATGAGTTCTGTTGGGGCAGCACTGGGGCAGTCTTCCCTTCTTTGACCCTTTGTTCAGTGATAGAATGAAGGGATATCTACTAGGCACATGTAAATTAAACATTTATATCCACTTGGGATTTCCTGTCACAGGTGTGGCCACAGCAAGGGTAGTTATTGTTCTTATTCCAACTGCCCCCCCAACCCTGCCTTTTAAACATCTGAACCTCCTTTTCTTGGAATCAGGAAAGTGAATGTGAACCAAGGGCAACCTAGAACCACGAAAGTACAGAGGGCCAAAGGGGATAAGTAAAGACAGAGCTGCCCACTCTGTTTTAAACAAGGTGTTTTAAGTACCAGCGAACTGGACGGAGCATCTTCCCTGCAGCTTGCACAGGCTGTCCTGTGTTAAATACAAAGATAATAAAGAAGTTGGAGAATTCTTGTTAATATTCTAGGCAAACCAGAAGTTCTGGGGAGACATGTAAAATATTAATGGGATCATTTTGTCCCTTTAATTAAAGACAAATTAAAAATTAAATCTAGTTTTGTAATTTATAGTCACAGTCAGAAGATAGCAAAGAGATTCTTGGCTTGGTGTTCAGGAGTCACAGGTTAAAACACATTTAAGAGGCAGCCATGGACTGAGACTGTAGATTAGGGTACCTCAGTGTCCGTGTTAATGAAAAGTGATTGTCTCCTGTAGCAAAAAGGAGACACAAAAACTGCATTGTAAGATTACTTTATTACTCTTAAGTTTTACAAGATGATTGACTATATCTATTTATTGGGTCTATTTATTATAAATAAGTTACCATAATAGAATCTAATTTTCATGGTAATGTCCTGGGATCTCTAAGAAAACATTAAATACTCTGTATTTCACAGAAACACAGGAAAGAACACTTTAAATTTCTTTGAAAAGTTGTTGTCCCCAAGCTTAAAGAAATAAGTATAAGAAAAATAATTTATGTAAAATGTGTTGGCTGAATAAAACACAGAGAATAGAAGTAGTCATATTCGTGTCTTTATTCTATACAATAATTGTGCTTTCAAATGATATTTATAGCCCACCAAAACGAGGACGACCACAAGTTAGATTGCCAATTAAAACAAGAGCGAGACTTAACTCTTCTTTCTCAAGTCGTGGCCAACGACAAGATCCTGGAAGATACCCTTCAAGGAGTCAACAAAGCACACCCAAAGCAACTCTTTATTCTAAAACTACCGGTAGAAACCTAAGGAAGGTAAAATCTGCTCCACCTACAGAGACTAAATCTTTAAGAATCGCCAGTCGTTCTACTCGCAACAGCCATGGCCCACTGCAGGCAGATGTGTTTGTGGAACTGCTGAGTCCTCGTAGAAAACGGGGAGACAGGAAAAGTGCTAATAACAGACCAGAAAACAGTCCCAGCATCCCTAACTTAAGAGTCATTGCCTCAAAGACAAGTGAACAGTCAAGTTCTTTCAATGTTGCTTCAAAACTTTGTCTCCAAGATAGTGAATCCAAGAGACGGGGCAGGAAAAGACAATCTGCAGGTACGAAGAATTCTAAGTTGAACTCTTGCTTACCTAAGAAAATTGAATAGCTTGGAGATACTGCATAATGAGGTACTTTGAATCATTTTTAAAGGCATTCACCAAGATCCGAGCAGTCTGACCTGAAGCATAATATTCATTAAAGGAACTGCTGTTGGGAGAATTACAGAACTATATTACTAGTCTTTCCACTGCTGTGACAGAGTAATGGAGTAAATTTGCCAAACAGCCTTCTGGTTTTTAGTTTAGTTTATTATTTATTTTTATCTATTTATTTGAAAGGCAGAGCAGTCGAGAGAGAAATAGCCCATCTGCTGGTTCCCTGAATGTCTGCAGTAGCCAGGGCTGTGCCAGGCCAAAGCCAGGAGCCGGGAACTCCACCTGGGTCTCCCATGGGGGCGGCAGGGAGTCAAGCATTTGAGCCATCATCTGCCGTCTCCTGGAGTGCACGTTAGCAGGAAGCTGGATTGGAAGTGGAGGCAAGACTCCATCCCTTTCACTCCAGTATGGGAAGCGGGCATCCCAAGTGACAGCCTAACCTACTATGCCACAATGCCTGCCTCTAGTATTCTGTTTTTAATGGAGGTGTTTGGTCATAAAACACTTTCACTTTCTTCCATTCTTTCCTTCCTCAAAACATATATATTCATCATCATCTAGACAAGCTACATGGAGTTATCTGATAAGGTTCCCATCTAAAATACTAGTTTTGAGGGAGGGGTCACTAGTATTTTTAGGAAGTGATCATGGGCCTGTGCTGTGGTGTAGTAGGCTAAGCTTCTGCTTGCAGCGCCGGGATCCCATATGAGCACCGGGTCATGTCCCGGCTGCTCCACTCTGATCCAGCTCTCTGCTGATGGCCTAGAAAAACAGTGGAAGGTGGCCCAAGTGCTTGGGACCCTAAACCTGTGTGGGAGACCTGGAAGAAGCTTCTGGCTCCTGACTTCAGACCTACCCAGCTCTGGCCATTGCAGCCATTTGAGGAGTGAACCAGTGGATGGAAGACCTTTCTCTCTGTAACTCTTTCTCAAATAGATAAATAAAAAATTTTTTAAAAACCTTAATATTAGATTTTTATTTTGTATTAGCTCTTTATATAAACTGTTTCCAATGAATGTGTAATTCAGTTGGAATATGTTAAGATTTTAAAAAAGTTCGGGCCAGCTCCATGGCTCACCAGGCTAATCCTCCGCCTGCAGCGCCGGCACACCAGGTTCTAGTCCCGGTTGGGGCGCCGGATTCTGTCCCAGTTGCCCCTCTTCCAGGCCAGCTCTCTGCTGTGGCCCAGGAGTGCAGTGGAGAATGGCCCAAGTGCTTGGGCCCTGCACCCGCATGGGAGACCAGAAGCACCTGGCTCCTGGCTTCAGATCAGCGCAGTGCGCCGGCCGCAGCGGCCACTTAGTAGGGGGTGAACCAACAGAAAAGGAAGACCTTTCTCTCTCTCTCTCTCTCTCACTGTCCACCCTGCCTGTGAAAAAAATAAAAACAAAAGATAATAAAAGTTAAGATCTTAGTGTCTAGAGTCCCTAAATTTCTTTGAATTTTGTTTGTGTTTTATGTCCAGTTTAGCTTCTGGTGATCCAATATTGCTTTGTTATTAAAAAAGTGTTTTAACTATTTACTCAGAGTCCTCTCCTGTGACACTGAATCGAAGGAGTTCTGGCAGACACGGAGGAGTTCATGAATTGTCTGCTTTTGAACAACTTGTTGTGGAACTGGTACGGCATGATGACAGTTGGCCTTTTCTGAAACTTGTTTCTAAAATCCAGGTAATAACATTACTATGTCTTATAAAATATGCTCGTGTGTGTAATCTGCTTTGGTCTGCAGGGCAGCTTCGAAGTACTCAAAACACTGGGTACTGACTGCTTTCCTTTAAGAAACCACTTGGAAGTGTGGTTCCTGTATTGAAGGGAGAAAAATAGAGTCAGAAAGCAGTCTCTTCGATTCCCTCTAATTCTGTGGCTGATTGTCTACAAATGATGGCAGTGTGCCAAAATAACCTCAGTGTGTTTTATGCAGTGACTGAATGGAATTACTTGAACTAAGTACCATTAATTTACATAAAACAGTAATAAATACATAAAACATTAATTCTAATATAAAACATTCTCAGATGTCTCTTTCATCAGAATTGTTTGGAGGGCTTGTTAAAAGACAGATTTCTGGGGCAGGTGTTTGGCCTACTGTACTGGGTAGGGCACTGGCTAAGATGCCCATGTCCCATATTAGAGGGCCTTGGTGTAATACCTGGCTTGGACTGCTGATTCTAGTTTCCTGCTAATGCACATCCTGGGAGGCAATTGTGATGGCTCAGGTAACTGAGTCCCTGGCTCTGGGCTTTGGCCCTGGCCCAGCACCAAGCATTTAGGGAATGAACCAGTGGATGGGAGCAGGCTCTGTCTCATTCTCTTTCAAATTAATTAGTTAATTTTTTTTTTTTTTTTTTTTTTGACAGGCAGAGTAGACAGTGAGAGAGAGAGAAAGGTCTTCCTTTACCATTGGTTCACCCTCCATTGGCTGCTACAGCTGGCGCACCGCGCTGATCCAAAGCCAGGAGCCAGGTGCTTCTCCTGGTCTCCCATGGGGTGCAGGGCCCAAGCACTTGGGCCATCCTCCACTGCCTTCCCGGGCCACAGCAGAGAGCTGGCCTGGAAGAGGGGCAACCGGGACAGAATCTGGCACCCCGACCAGGACTAGAACACAGTGTGGCGGCGCCGCAGGCGAAGGATTAGCCTAGCGAGCCGCGGCGCCGGCCTAGTTAGTTAATTTTTAAGAGCATAGTTTCCTGAGCCTCACCCCAAAGATTTTGATTCACTAGGTCTGGAATGCTTGGCATTTCCAACAAGATGATGCTGATGGCCCTGGTCCAGAGATCACACTTAATAAAGACATTGATGTAAAAGATCAACCTCTCAGGTACTAACAGTGACCTAACATAACTAAGGGTGAGGAAGTAGTGATTATTGGTATTTGTGTGGCAGAATGTCATGTGCTGGGAAGTGGAGACAGAACAATTCAACACCCACCAGTGAGAAACAAGGGAATGGCAGGTAGTATGAATGGAGCAGAGGTTGTGTTAGAGAGGCTCAGACAAGTCTGTTTTATAGAGGCTCTTATTTTTCAGCGTGTAATTGAAGGTTTCTCAGTGAAAAAGTGACATCATCAGAATTCTGCTTTGAGATTTCTAGAGCAAGACTGTCAAGGATTAATTAATACTAAATAGCAAATTATATATGTAATACTCATTAAAGAAAACTTTATTTATGTGTCTGTCTATAGTAAATAAGAGAACCAGGAGTGAAACCGTGTTTTTTTTTCCTTTAAGATTTATTTTATTTGAAAGGCAGAGTTACAGAGAGGCAGAGAGAGAGAGAGAGAGAGGTCTTCCATCTGCTGGTTCACTCCCCAGTTGGCTGCAATGGCCAGAGCTGCGCCGATCCTAATCCACGAGTCGGGAGCTTCTTCCAGGTCTCCCACACAGGTGCAGGGGCCCAAGGACCTGAGCCATCTTCCATTGCTTTCCCAGGCCACAGCAGAGAGCTGGATCAGAAGTGGAACAGCCGGGACTTGAACCGGTGCCTATATGGGATGCCGGCCCTATAGGCAGCAGCCTCACCCGCTATGCCACAGCACTGGCCCCTACAGTAAATTTTTAATGGTATCAAATAGACTACTGGGCTGGCACCGTGGCTCACTAGGCTAATCCTCTGCCTGCGGCGCCAGCACCCCGGATTCTAGTCCCGGTCGAGGCACCGGATTCTGTCCTGGTTGCTCCTCTTCCAGTCCAGCTCTCTGCTGTGGCCCGGGAGGGCAGTGGAGGATGGCCCAAGTCCTTGGGCCCCGTACCCACATGGGAGACCAGGAGGAAGCACCTGGCTCCTGGCTTCGGATCAGTGCGGCACGCCAGCCGTAGCGGCCACTTGGGGGATAAACCAACGGAAAAAAGGAATACCTTTGTTTCTGTCTCTCTCTCTCTCTCTTACTCTGCCTGTCAAAAAAAAAAAAAAAAAGGTGTATCAGGATGGCTGAGTGGTCTAAGGTGCCAGACTCAAATAGACTACTACAACATCATTGAAAAAAATTACATGATGTTAATAGAATAATAATATTCAGAAGTGAATGTTAGGTTGTTTTTTATATTATTTGACTACTAATTTCTAATAAATTTTTATATGGAGAGATATTGAATTATTTTACAGGTACCAGATTACTATGACATCATTAAAAAGCCCATTGCCTTAAACATAATACGTGAAAAAGTGAATAAATGTGAATATAAGTTAGCATGTAAGTAATACATATTTTCCTTATTTTTGTTTAAAGAGATAGAGGCTATTTTTTTGTTGTTTTTAAGTGATGTGTGTTAATGTAGCTCTATGACAACATTCCAGGAGATTCCCTTTTTAAAATGCTTGTCAGTGTATATGAAGGTGAAAGATGGATTGAAATTGGATAAGTTAAAGATATTTTATAGAATCTGACCTTAAAATTGCATTGGGTAATGTCAATAAAATAGCTTTAAAGTGTTTATACTTAACACTTTTAGGCCTCAGTTCTGCTACCTTGTTTCAGAGTATTCTCTTTCTAAAGAAAAAAGGGGCTTCTTTTCTTAGTGAGCTTTCAAGAAATGATACAAACAAAAGTTATATTTGTGATTCATGTGCTTTTATTCTAATCTGGTTTGTTTTTTTCTCTCTAGCTGAGTTTATTGATGATATTGAGTTAATGTTTTCAAACTGCTTTGAGTACAACCCTCGTAACACGAGTGAAGCAAAAGCTGGAACTAGGCTTCAAGCATTTTTTCACATTCAGGCTCAAAAGCTTGGACTCCATGTCACACCCAATAATGTGGACCAAGTTAGCACACCACCGGCTGCAAAAAAGTCGCGAATCTAATTTTATCCTTCTAAAGGATGTATTTGAGGAAAAACAAATCGTTCACGAAAATGGAACATTAAATCATGCTCTAAAGCAGACGTGTATAAAGCAATAACAACTGACCACGTTCACGTGTGGCCTGCACTATTTTCTCAATGTCAATGTTAAGCACTCAGGAGAATGTAGGAAAGATTTCCTTTGCTACAGTTTTGTTCAGTATCTAATAAGTTTGGTAGCTGTACTGGATTCAGTACTGGTTTACAGAGGTCTTTGTACATTTTGAGATCATTCATGTGTCCAGATATCTTGGAAAATATTTTTTCACCTATGATTTATCTTGTCATTGAGGATTTTTTGGAATTTGTGGTATTAAAAGAGATTTACCTATACAGATAAGTCTTCTGTCGCACAATACGGAAAAATGGGTTTATGTCTTAAGAATTGTTTAATGAGCGCATTCTCTCAACACTACACATGAATGGATCCAATTTTATATCTTTGAAGTGCTGTACCAGTACTGGCTGGAGGTATTAAGTCTGAGTTTATTAACTAGATATTTATTTAGCATTCAAGATAATTTGTGAATTTGTTTTGTATTTATAAAATTTATACCTGGAAAATGTTCTTTAATTTTTTTAAACATTTTACTGTGTTTTTGTTTTACTTCTCTAACTTCCTTAATGATCAATCAAAAAAGATAATACCCTCCCTTTTCCCTTTTCAGTTTTACAGAGCTGTTAAAAGTTTCTATGTACAACTTTTTAAGTGTACAAATAAAATGATACTTTTTTCAATTATTCTTTGTTTCTGGAGTTTTTACAAATCAAAATTGGACTTTGTTTATTTTGTGTTTAGATAGCTATTTCTTAGGTGTGAAAAACATACAGTTTGGCAGCAATAGCTTTCCTTTTTTTTTTTTTTTTAAGATTTATTAAATTATTTGAAAGTCAGAGTTACAGAGAGAAAGAGAGGCAGAGAGAGGTCTTCTATCTCTGGTTCGCTCCCCAATTGGCTGCAACGGCCAGAGCTGCGCTGATCCAAAGCCAGGAGCCGGGAGCTTCTTCTGGGTCTCTCAGGCCAGTGTGGGGGCCCAAAGACTTGGGTCATCTTCTACTGCTTTCCCAGGCCATAGCAGAGAACTGGATCAGAACAAGAGCAGCCAGGACTTGAACCGCCACCCATATGGGATGCTGGCACTGCAGGCGGTGGCTTACTCGCTGTGCCACAGCACCAGCCCCAAGCTTTTCCTTTTAAGGATGCAAAAGGAAACCTTCTAGGACTTTTAGCAGGCAGGAGAGAGAACCTTCACCCTAAGTTCTAAAATCATCAGGATGCGACATTTGATTCAGTTAGGTCAGTTCTGGGTGGGCATTTAGCAGCAGTGAAGGTGTCACCTGGCACACCTGCACCTGTATTGGAGTATCTGGTTCAAGTCCCAGCTCTTCTGTTTCTGATCTGGCTTCCTGCTTATGCACCCTGGGGAGGCAGCAGTTGATGGCTTAAGTATTGGTTGGGTCCCTGCCAACCCACATGGGAGACCTAGATTGGATTCCAGGCTCCTGGCTTTGGCCTGTCACAGCCCCAGCTGTATTGGGCATATGGAGTGTGAGCCAGCAAGTGTGTGTGTGTGTGTGTGTGTGTGTGTGTGTGTGTGTGTATTTCCCTCTCTGCCTTCAAATAAAGTGAAAATAAATAAAACTTTTAGGTTAATTTATTTGGGACATTGCCCTTCTTAGTTTCATTTCTTTCTCATGTAGTTTGAGATTATTGATTTTCTGGAGTCTTTACATGAAGATGTTCCTATCTTTAATTTCTGGTGAATTTATAATCATTTCATATGCCAGTAAACAAATTCTTAAAAAAAATTTACATAGTGGGGCCGGCACTGAGGTGTAGTGAGTAAAGCTGCCGCCTGCAGCGCCAACATCCCATATGGGCACCAGTTCGAGTCCCAGCTGCTCCACTTGCCATCCAACTCCCTGCTGATGTGCCTGGGAAAGCAGCAGAAAATGACCCAAGCGCTTGGGTCCCTGCACCCTTGTGGGAGACCCGGAAGAAGCTCCTGGCTTTGGATCAGTGCAGCTCCGGCCATTGCCGCCATCTGGGGAGTGAACAAGCGGATGGAAGATTTCTGTCTCTGTCTCTACCTCTTTCTTTAACTCTATCTTTCAAATAAATAAAATAAATCTTTAAAAAAAAAAAACAAGTATGAGCTTATAAGAAACTTTTGGAAATAGACTGGACATATTTGTAAAAAAAGTATATATATTATATAATATTTATATATTTATAATGTTATATAATATTTATTAATAATAAATATTAATTAAATAAAATTAAATAATAATATAATAAATGAATATTATATAATATTTATAAATTATATAATCTTCACTTTCTCATGTTAATTTGAAAACAAGTCATAAAACATGCCATTTATCTTACACATTTCCTTTCATAGACTCAATTAAAATAAGCCTTTTAATCTGTTCAAATTTTTTTTTATATACAAGAACTCATTCCCATACATATCCACAGTAATGATGAAATTATATCAAACAATGTTAATAGACAAGGAGTAGATGGTAGTGGCTGAGAATGTAACATTAACATGGCCAAGAAAACAGCCAGCATTATTTAACTCCTACTTTGCCTTCATGCTTTTGCTCGAGGAGAAATGGAATAGGTAGAACAAAAATGCGATTGAGAAAACAAGCCCAGGATGTTGACAGACATGCGAGTCATCTGGGTACCTCTTACTGAGTTTAGTCTTTAAGCCCAGATAAATTATATTCCTAAAACCATTTGACTTGTAATTGCAAAAGAAAGTGGCAGAAAGGCGAGAAATTAATACATCCTCTTAGGTGCCAAGCCTTTAATACGAAAGTTTATAGTATTTGTACCTATAATGTGAAATGCTCTTTGTATTAAATTATTAAAATTTGTGTAATGTTACCGGCACCGTGGCTCACTAGGCTAATCCTCTGTCTGCAGCACCGGCACCCCAGGTTCTGTCCCAGTTGCCCCTCTTCCAGTCCAGCTCTCTGCTGTGGCCTGGGAATGCAGTGGAGGATGGCCCAAGTGCTTGGGCCCTGCACCTGCATGGGAGACCAGGATTAGCACCTGGCTCCTGGCTTTGGATCAGCGCGCTGCGGCCATTGCGGGGTGAACCAATGGCAAAGGAAGACCTTTCTGTCTCTCTCTCTCACTGTCCACTCTGCCTGTCAAAAAAAAATTATGTAATATTTTTGGTATTTTCTCCATTTTTCAGGTAATTCAGAATAACTGACATGGATTTTTTAAATACTTATCCAAGATCACAGAGTAAATGACAGTTCTGTCAACATTCCATCTTTGCATTACACTAGAGTACCTCCATGGAGATGGGAAACAGGCAGGTTTATCTTTGTGAATAGTCTATAAAGGGTGAGCCCAGGGGAAAATAGAGAATCTATATGTTCAGGTCCATGAGCTTAACCCTTTTTGGAGAGACACTTGTTATAAATGAACAGTTGTTATATTCTTCTACTATTTTCCTTTTTTATTGATAGTTTCTGAGGGCCCAGATCTGTGATATTTTTACCAATAAGCTCAGATTATATACAGGTACTAGAAGAGTGGTGTCTTTCAAGCTTTTGATTTCCACATGTATCTGGCTACAGGACCCTTATAAATATTTAAGCAAGTCCAGAAACATGAGAAATTAATATATGTGCCAAGCTTTGAAAGTAGCATTTGTCTATTGTCAGTGTGTTAGTGTTTTTTGACTTTTTCTAGAGAAGGAAATAGGGCAAGTAGCACACACGTGAGTTTGCTGACTTCACAACTTTGACGGAATGCTTAGGTTGATTTCACTAACACATGAAGACTGTGCTTAAGCTATATTCCACATTTGCCCCTTACACTCACCGTTCATGAGAGCTTGTGGTGACAAGTAAAAACATGAAAGCAAATCTCTTAGGGAAAAAAAAATCAGTATACAAGTAATTTACTGGTCTGTAAATGAGCAACAACTTTATCCTTTCACTCTTCTTACTAAAAGTTTTGTCTTGAGAGCCAGCAACCCTTTCTATCAGAAAATTTTTGAGAATATATTCAGAGCATGGATGAACAAATCCCTCTAAGATTGTGATTTCGGCCTTTGATCTGGCCATTATTTGGGGTGTATTACTGTCTTCACCAGTAAGATGGAAATTTTACTTCTAGTTATAAAATGAATAGATGGCACTTGTCAGGACAGGTTGTGGCATACTGGTTATGACCCCACTTGGGATGCCCACATCCCACATTGGAGTGCCAAGGTTCAGGTGTCAGCTCTGCTTACAATTCCTGCTTCCCACTAATGAGCACCCTGGGAAGCAGCAGGTGATGCTCAAGTAGTTAAGGCCTTGCCATCACATGGGAGATCTGAATTGAGTTCTGGGCCCAGCAAAAATCAAAGATAACTGGGGCTGGCACTGTAGTGCAGTAGGTTAATCCTCTGCCTGCAGTGCCAGCATCCTATAAGGGCACTGGTTCGAGTCCCAGCTGCTGCACTTCCAATCCAGTGCTCTGCTATGGCCTGAGAAAACAGTACAAGATGGCCCAAGTCCTTGGGCCCCTGCACCTGCATGAGAAGCTCTTGGCTGCCAACTTTGGATTGGCGCAGTTCCAGCCACTGTGGCCAACTGGGGAGTGAACCAGCAGATGGAAGACCTCTCTCTCTGCCTCTCCTTCTCTCTCTGTGTAATTCTGACTTTCAAATAAATAAATCTTTTAAAAAAATTATAAAGCAACAGTTATCAAGACAATCTAGTGGGTAAGAAGGCTGGTAGCCTGGAAGTCAAGATGGCCACACCCCACAGCTCTGGCTCCTGACTCTGGCTTCCTGCTGATGCAGAATCTGAGAGGCATTAGTTATACCAAGTAGTTGGATCCCTGCCGTCCACATTGGAGGCCAGGAGGGAGGCTGGGATTGAGTTCCCAGCTCCTGCTATTGTGGGCATTGAGGAGTTGACCAGTGGATAGAAGAGCTTTGTCTCTCTGCCTCTCAAATTTTAAGGTTTGTGGGAAATGGAATTAAAAGATGTGTATTTTGTTGCCGAAAGTTTTTAAATCCATGCATAATTTTTCCATAATATATACTTCCCATGAATTTTTTAAAGATCCCACTCACATATGTAGGTATAGATAGGGGGGAAACACTTTTTTTTGTTTGAGATTTATTCATTTGAAAAGCTGAGTGACAGAAATGGGAAAAGACAGAGAGTTCACTCCTCAAACGGCCACAACGGCCAGAGCTGGGCCAGACAGAAGCCAGGGGCCTGGAAGGCCCAAGTACTCGGGCCATTTTTTGCTGCCTTCCCGGGGGCATTAGCAGGGAGCAGAATCAGGAAGCAGAGCCGCTTGGACTCAAGCTGACGCTCTGATATGGAATGCCAGCACTGCAAGTAGAGGCTTAACCTGCTGTTGTACCAGTGCTAGCCCAAAGCTGACGAAATAGTGACAAAGAAGGGTGCTGGCTAAACATGGTAAGAATGAATTTGGGGCTGAAACATGCCCACAGAAAAAAGTATCCTTCAACAATGAAACCACTTGTTTAAATCAGTTTCTACCCTGAACAAAAGGACTCAATGGCTGGGCCATTATTTCAGGTCATCAGAGACCCTATTAGCACAAATATAGTTGCATAAAACAAACAAACTAAAAAAGAGGGGCTGGTGTTGTGGCACAGTGGATCAAGCTGCTGTCTGTGACAACAGCATCCTGTGTGAGCACCAGTTCAAGTTCCAGCTGCTCCATTTCTGATCCAGCTCTC